TTCATGGAATTGAGGAAGGGTACACTTTTTATTCATTTACCTCTCTTACTGCACGGTGCCGTCCTCTCACAGCACTATACTCCAGAGTTCTGCAGCAGATCTACATGCCTCAGGAAAGAACTTGCAGAGGTGGACATTGATACAAATTAGATACTGATTTTTTTTTTTCTTCCCAAAGGGCATTTATCTACGCAAATATCACTCTTCTTAGTAAATGCAAAATTTGCAAAATCCAGGAGAACCAAACTTCTCACAAGACAGCTGCAGAACCCTCAGTGCGTCACTTGGTGAGTAAACGTGAGCACACCAGGCACACAACCGAGCTTCTGACAAAAGAACATTACCTTTTTGTAGCCGTTATCATACCAGATTCTGTCTGCTAACCGTACCAAAAGGAAGTCTCTTTTCTCTTCACTTAAAATGCAAAAAATTATTTTATAACTTCAAGCAAAAATAACACGTGTTTTCTGTCAAGTTCAAGTAGACAAAAAAGTGTCAGATCAAAGGACTACACTGTTTCCTTTCTAGAAGGAAAATGAATGGAAAGAGCCACTAAAAACAATAGGTTATTGTAGGCTACAAAAGAGATCCTTAAGACAGCATTAGTACTGTTGGGAGTTATTTATTGATAAAGGTCTTACAGCTTTTCCATTTTTATAACAAACTCTAGAGTGATCCAGTCCACTGCTTTTCTGCGTCTTAGACTAGAGAAGTCAGAAGAGGCCTCAGGAGGCCTCTCTTCACCTAATTGCGCTCTGGATCATGCTTTGACCTCGCTCCAAGTCAAATCCATACCTCCGTTAGCTCACAGTATGTTGTCTGCCTCTCCTCTCAATTTTTTGGCCGTTTCAAGACATGTGCATATTGAACCAAAAATTAAAATATTTGTCACTAAGCTTCTTACGATGAACATCAACACCTCTCAAAATGCCTTAAAGCATATGCTAATTAACCCAGCATACTATCAAATTGTAGCAGTCTTCTGAAATCACTTTAGCATCTTCCAAAAAGCATTTCTTCTCTATCTCACAAACTCAGTGAAGAAACATTGCATATTTTTTTTTAACTTTGACATTATAAGCATAAGATAAAACGGGGAACAAGAAGTGGGAGATTAATTTATTCTCCCCTGTAAGGAAACACTATAACGAAAGGATTTTCATAACATCATTCAATTAATTTCCTTGAAGGGAAAAAAGTATATATTATTCAGTTCCCTTAGGAAATTTCCATCCAGAGCAATGAAAATAATACTGCTATTAATGGAAGTTTTAGATAGAAGGAATCTCCAAAGCATTTAATCCATTTGCTTATATTCATTCCACACTTAGATGTCACGATCCATAATTCACAAAACCGAAGCGTGACCTCAAGGCTATTTTGCATACCCATTAGAAGTCCATGGGGCTGTGGTATAATCTGCTTAATTAATGAATTCCATCAGCTGAATGCCAAGTCAAATAAAGAACAGACTGAATACGAGCAGCATACTTATCTGAAACTGAAGTCCAGAAAGCTTAAACAAGCCAGACTTTCAGTCAAACATCTCAACTTAATTACACAGCATCAAGAAACCTTCAGTTCAAAGGTAGCAATTATATTCCTTGTAATATTCTCAATATAAATACGTTTACAATCAAGCATCAAATTTACATCACAAAGGAATATAAGCCTGACTGCCAAACGCAGCATATAGCTTCCTGATGTTAAGTAATAAATGTTCCATTCAAAACAACGGCAGAAACAGCAACAATTCTAGCTTTATTCAGAAAGGTCAGCTTTAACACATCTGGACAGAACGGTACAGAGCCAACTCCCCTAATCTTTCTGCTGGCCTTTCAAAGTTGGCCGGGAGATTGTATTTTATATAAACTTTGTTCTCAAGGAGACAAGGTCTTTTTGGTTCTCCACTCATTTTTAGTGGCTGTGAATCGCAGTGGATGGATCATCTACACAGTGATGATCTAACGCTTCCTAAAACAGTAACAGCCGAGGATATTTATACTGCTGGCCTCCTCACAGCCTGACACTATGCCCTCTTAACTGCTTGACGTGGTCATTCTGTTGGCAATGTCAAAAGCTGCACTTTTATAGACAGTTTTTCTGACTCCTCAGCCTTCATGTCGTATTATTTCCCTGAAACTGCAGTGGAAATAACTATAAAAGCTTCTCTGACAAATACAAAACTAAGGTGTCATGTGGCACTGTAACGTTGAGAAATACAGGTACTCGTCCAACATTGTCACTTGCAGTTAGCATCTTTGCAATAAAGTTCTCTCGCATAAATTCTAACGTGACAGATATTGAGCAAGATCAGAAGATCAGAGCCTTTAAGAACTCCAAAAGGAATCTAGATCATATTTCTTTACTTAGTATTTCATGCTGTAAATAATCTCACCCCTTAAAAGCAAGTCATTAAAAATGTTATCATAGCTATTAGCAAATGAGTCATTTTTTATCTTGTTAGAGAAATTAATTGCCCACTCAACTACATGGCACAGATAACTGGAGTTTGGTCTCCCTCCTGTCTGCAATCTCAGTGCTGCATATCTAATTACAGAAAGCCAGTCAGCTTGCAGCAGGCACAGAACACTGGTGGGGTTGGGCACCTCCCAAAAAATGCAAATTTCTCTCGGAGGATGTTAGATAAGACCACTGAATGCCACTTCTTGACAAAACAAGCATTTTGGTGGAAGTTGAAGTATGAATAAAGAAAAGAAGCAGCCAGCATGATAGCAGAGGAAAGGTGTTGCGGCTTGCTTTTTTTAAACGGCACGATGTAAAAGGTTCCAGACCACTATCACCTATAAAACTTGTGCAGTATAACCAGAAAATCAGACATTTTGGTTTGTGTTCATAGACAGGCATTCCGAAAGAGTAGTCTCCTTTCAAAAAAGGAGGATATGGTTTTGGTCAATTTTGGATTTTGATACTTGTACCAAGCAGCTAGGAAAGATGTAAGTACATATATACACTCCAAAACCAGTGAAATTAGAAGCTATCTGAAACTTGAAAATTCCAACGTCATGTTACCTATAAAAAGCAGATTCCTTATGTCTATTTTTCTTCCATTTTACTCTTGAAAATGTATACTTATATTTTTTTGTACACACTGTAGACAAATGTGAATATATGTGGAATACTGTATTTTTCCTCTGTTTAGAGGAAGCAAATTGTAAATTTTCCTCTGTTTAGATCTTCATACAAAACGTAGGCAGACAGATAGGGTGCCTGAATATTACTTAGGAGCTCCTAAGTCAGCTTCCTACAAACAGCAGACACACAGCTGAGCTTAAAACTGATGATGGTTTCAAATTTTCGTAGGGTTACCCCCACCACCGTAACAGTAGCTTGATTCAGCAGCAATGGTTACTTCTCGATTACTCACACCAGAATAGCCCTACAACACGGACTACGACTGAAGAGCATTGCAAGCTTTGCAAATTTCAGGACATTACTAATAAGGGCAATTCCTTTTATGCAGCCAGACAGCTGAAGAGTAACATATTTCGGCTTTCTTCAGAGAAAGATCCGATTTGCTGATCATTTTCTGCCAGCCCTTGTGTCCACTACCACAGGTACCTAGTTAGTAAGCCTCGTTAACCAAGCTTCCCACCATCTTCACAAGTATGAGACGAAGCTGTACTCAATAATTAGTTTCAGGTATTCTTTCATATCACTTCAGCGTATTTTAGCAACATTCCTACTGTGCAATATTACTACTGCATTTGGTTTTTCATATACTTGAGCCAGAAACCAATGCAGGACTAGATATGAAAATTGGTTTGTTTTTTCAAGTGGAATTGCCGTGGACTAGCTAATCACAAACCCAGAAGTATACCATAGTCGTCGTCCTCCTTCAGAGAGAGCCTTTTGTTAAAAGCCCACTGAGGAAAAGCTGAAAGGCCAGAGTATTTAAGATATAAAGGACAAAATTATAAATGCTACTGAGGACAGGAAGCCACTAAAATTTTAAGGAACACAGACCATGAATGTCTTAAAACAAGAAACACGCGTAATACTACCACAGATCCTACTTAAAAGGAGAAAAAACAAACGTAATCAAGCGAGCTAGGACACAGGTTGGTGATTTACATCATCACTGTTTATCTCTACTGCTCTACTCTAGAATTCATCTTTATCAATGAGTAAACTCTAAACAAGAAAGAAAGGTTCTTCCACAAAGAAGAGAAGCCATTTTAGGCTGTATCTACAGCTCAGACTGGTTCAGGTATTAAGGCAAGCATCAGCAAGCTACAAAGACATCATGTCAGACAGAAGCACTATATATATATACATATATATATATATATATACACACACTATACTGAAACAGACGGGTAAATGATGTTTTAATGGCAATCAGACATAAATAACTTATATGTGGCATATGACCGCTTAAACAATGAGCGGTAATTACAGGCAAGCGGTAGTTTTCAAGTAGCAAACAGTGCGCTTTCTGGTTAACTTGTATTTTTAAAATGTACAACCCCCATTTTTTTCCTGAACTTTGACACAAATCGTTAATTTAAGGGAACTCCGATAAACTGTATTTCTGAAAAGTAAAAGAAAAAAGAAATTACATAAACCACAAATATCAGTTTTCCTATGGTAGGGACCGAGACCTTTTGGTATTCACACAAAAGGAAGCATGCTTAGCTGAAATGAGAGACACATTCTCAAACACTGCACTTACATTTTGAAAAAGTGTAGAAGCTTATCTAAGAGGAATGGTAATCTAAATATTCAATTAAATAGCTTTTGCTTTTTAAAGAAATACCAAGAATTTCTTCTGGTCTAAACTGGTAACAGGTAATAGTTCCTGTTTCAAAGGAAATATTGTACACCACTTAAGGGGAGGGGGGTGTTAATCCCCAACAATACACAAAAGATTGTCAGTCACAATGTACTTCAAGCTGCATAAATTGTTTCCTGAAGAGGAACAAAATAATTATCAAGCAACACACACTCTTAGGTATGACAAAAGCCAAGAATTTTACCTGCTTGGCAGCAACATACAGTCAATGTCAGGTCTTTTTGTCTTGGGAATGGCATACAGCGGATACCTGTCGCCATGTCGAATCACCACTTGAACAGACACGAGCTTAAAATAATGAGGCGCATGACCTAAAGTGAAGCGGGGGGGGGAAGATGCAAAAAGTTGAGTAAATGTTACCTAAATCTTTCCCTTGCACACATTTTCTTTAAGAAAAAAAAAAAACAGGTATAATTAGCTTGACAGCTTTGGTATTGCAATGAAAGAAAACCCCCATAAGAAATGATAACATACCGTCCCAAGAAAGATTTCACTTTAAATTGCAAGACAACTTATACAAGACGCAGGTGCCTAGCACATTCTCCACAGCACATCTAAAGTCCAACAACCATACAAGACATTATTCAAGCACTGAACTCTGCCAACACAGTACGGTACCCCACGTTTATGATGCTTCTCGGCCAGACCCCTATCATAATGACGGACTTTGCAGCATGCCTAATTTGGAGCTTTATGATATACTAGTTTGTGATTTATTTTGTATGCATTAGTGGGATACGCTAACGAGGGAATTAATTCAGACTAACTTGCTGCTGCAGCTGCTATAGGGTGAAGAATGCAAATGTGTCTTCTAGCTGACTATGTCTAATGGTTTGGAGTTCCAAAATTAATTACTTCTGGTTGGTTTTTTTTCTTTCAGAATTCCAAGTCAACTGTTTTTCAGATGTTAATAATATAATTTGCAACGCAGCTCACTTAGAATAAGCATTATAATTCAAATAGCAACTATCTGTATCATTCTCACCCCTTTCAATATTAGGCCTCCAAATGATCATTGACTAGAAGCAGAATCACTTCTAAAAATAAGACACAGAGGATACAAAGGGAAAAGAAAGAAGAACAGCATATTTTGAATGATATAAATGCAGCAACCAGCTGACATTTGCTGTAACTTCTCTAAGCACCAAAGAGCTGACAATGCACAAAGTTACCGTTTCCACTGACAGCACATAGACGCAAGCAACTGAACCGCCGTTTGCATTCACAAAGCTTACCTTCCATGCTGCGTTCAGCAATGGTGGGAATATTGCAGTAAACATGAGCTTCATAAACAGGATCTATTGCAGGAGGCTCAGTCAGCAAATCAGGCATTATTCTCTTTCGGCTTTTAGGACTCAAAGCATCTTCCCTGATGGGGTTTACTGGGATTAAATGCACTGAAAGATACAAAACATACAGGATATACTTTTAGGAGGGTTTAAGGATGTATAGGACTATAACTTTTTTTTTTTCTTTAAAGTAATTCTGCACAAAGACTACGGTTTCCATGAAAGGATGCCACTCTACAGTTTAGATCTTTGTTGCGAATTTTTCATGATTGTCAAAAAGGTAAGCCCAGAGAGCTCTTCAGCAAAGTCAATGCTTGGCTAAGACTACAGAAATACATCTGGATGTAGAACAACTCTGCCTTTTGCACTCTTCTTGAAGCTGCTTTTTCTGTCAGTCTCTGATGAAGCTTTAAGAGCATGAATAGGAAGAAAAGGGCCACAACAGGCCCAGCTGTCTCTCATCATTTAAACTTTAGAACTCAGGTTGAAGGACATCAGCAAAAGATACAGCACAGTTAATGACGATGGTACTACAAACCACTGGGAAAACAAAGCAGCCAAGATCGAAAGGGCTGGTTTGTCCATCATGTTCCTTACTAATCCCAGCCCTTACATGGCTACCTTGCCAGCCTTAAACAGTCTGACTTATCTAAAGAAGATGCACACAAGATGTATTTGTCGAAATGTAAGGGAGACTACCACAAAACATGTTAAATACAAAGAAATACAGTTAATGCTTGCACACAGCAGGGAAATTAACAGCAATACCACCACTAAGTCTTCTGACACGTAGAAGCATGCTGAACATATCTGAATTTAAGGCCAGGGTTGTATTGCCAAGGTCTCCTTACCTTGTCTTGATGTGAAAGCACTAGTTAATTTATGAGCCTTACAAGACTACACTTGTGGTAACAAATGCCCACATTTTTCTTCTATTAGTATTTTTTGGTATTTGAACACAGGCAGATTTAGAGGTGAAAATGAGGAAGAAAAGTGTGTGCATTTTTACCCCATTCGTCTTCTGTGGTGAGAGGAAAAATCGAAAAAAGAAAGAAAGAAAAGACAAGAGAACAAATTTTGAAGCAGAATTTTACTAATTCTTCTGGGTCAGTTCCTCAGTCGCATCTTGACTCCCAGTCCTCATTTAGAGCTGAATTTGTTCCGCAGTAGAGAGTTTTGTGGACAAAGAAAACCAAACACGACAGCAAACTGAAGGGAACCACACAAAGATTTTAAGAGCACATAGCCGTTAATATAACACAGACTCTTCATTCTTACATTACAATACACTACTTTAAATATTTTTTTGTGGTTTCCCTTTGCCTGCCAAAACCAGAATTCAAGCATTTTCCATACCCTTGCCAGTGTTGTTGACATGGCTAATACCTGCAAAGGGCAGTGACTTTAAACTTTTCCTTAAGCCGTTTCAGATTTTGCACGTGACTGCCCACAGGACTGTGCTTAGCGAGAACACGGAACTGTAATTTTGACTTTGGCACTTAAACTGCAGAGCTCAGCTGCCATTCCACCATTTATTTATCAGACTCATTTTTTAGCTCCTTCCGTGCTAAGACTCACATTGTTGTGAGACATTGCAAACCACTGGCCAAGAAACTCTAGTGGTAACACAGAGCCTTGGCAATATCTATCAGAAGTTGGTAACTCTGGTTTGAAGGGGGCTTGGAGCAAATTTGTATTTGGGGTATAAATCCCAAACCTCAGAATGTTTTACAACAGTTGCTGGACTCTACAAAGACAAGTGTTAGTAGTTGCCTGAAGAGTATAAATGGGAAATGACAGCAGTTATGTTGTGTTGGTCAAGCTTCCTAGCCAGAAAAGGTTAGGCACAACAACTCTTGAGCTTTCTCTTAACAATTTTCTCTACAGCAACCGGCAACATTGCTACTGCTCACTTAATGTCACAAAAACATACAGAGTTAGCTGAAGCACTCATGGAGGTAATGTAACTCAGTTCAGCTTTGACCTCTGCGTGTTTCAGAAGACAGGGGAAAACACACCCCAAGAGCAACAGCTACGAACTCCGGTGCTAAAATTTGGTTGGGAGATTTAAAGGAAAATAAGGAATCTAATTTTTTATCTAAGACAGTTTTAACTACAAAAAAATTATCAGATCTAACAGCTCTCATCCCTACACTGAGTATTAACTACAGCAGTCAACAGATGCATACATTATGTTATTAAGATCAAGTGCCTAAAGTTCATGGGGCCAAATATTTTGTTTGCAGATAGCAAGTCTTGTTTCTAATCAACCTAGTTGAATAAATACTTTACCAGTGCCAGACAAATTTAAGAATAAGGAAAAGCACTACATCTTAGAAAGAAGAATCTACTCTATTTAAAATATTAAAATAAAACTGAATATTAAAAATAGCACCTACAGGATTATCAGATTACATGTTCAGAGTTTAAAAAGCCACTGACAGAACACCCTTAAAGGAGACTCTTAAGTCAACCCAGCAGTTATGGGTACAACGTAAGACTATTTTGTGGACTGGAAATGGACTGAGAGGTTAGGAGTAACAATAGTTCATGTAATTAATTAAAAAAATGTTTATTAAAAACTGTCCTATTCTAAATGCTGCTGCTAACTACATGTACTAATTACTTAGTAACAGCTGGTAAATATTGCCCTTACTGTATGATGAATAAGCTTGGCTTATGCCAGGGAAGAGGGGACACAGCACTTCCCCACTGAACTACTACCACCCTGTCCAAGCCCAGGTATCTCAGGCAGGGACTGGGCTAAAGGAGCTTCTAACTTTGAAACCACCCAGGGCATAACCCTGTTGTCTGGATTTCTGAACATATTTGAGTAACCCGATCTAGTGAAAAAAGTCTCTGCCCACGGCAGGGGAATTGGACGAGATTATTCAAAAGGTCCCTTCCAACACAAACCATTCTATGGTTTGACTTTAATGACTCAATTTGTTTGTAGTTTTGACAAAGAAAATTATCAAAAGGTCAAAAAACTCCAGTCACCTAAATAAGCACTGTCATATCAAGAAGTATTTACTTTTAGCACACTTGAAATAACACATGGGGGGGGGGGGATAACAATAAAATCAACCAAACTATGTTAAATAGAAAAAGAAGAAAATCATAGGATCTGGGCACCAGTCTACACAGTCTACTGGAAATTTCCACCGAATACATATACATAAAAATAGCAAGTATTTCAGAAGGGGGGTGGAAAAACAAGACCAAGGAGCCAAGGAGAGATGAATTCCAGTTGGAAAGCTGCCTTCCACTTGCTCAGCCTTATCAGCACGGTGACCTTGAGGAAGCCCTCCCAGGAAAGAGGGTCCTCCTCTCCCCTTATTAAAGCTCCTCACAAGTTGTAGCAATCCTGCAGTTTCAGTGCTTTGGGATGAGGACCCCACGTAACACAGCCTCTCTGTGTACTTCTGCCCAGTCCAGACAACGGCAGAGGTATCTTCCACACTGACAACTAAAGTCTCCGTTGGCTCTCAATGGTTTTCGCATCTCCTGCCATTCCCTGGACATTGTTAGTGCCCCATGCATCTATGGGATTTTCTCCTTTCTCCCTCCTTTTTCATTTCAAGGCTCCCTTGCTGTCTTCATTTATCCTGCTTCCTCGCTGTTGAGACCTTCTTCACATGCCTCATCCTCTTCAGCTCCCTACTGCATGGAAGGCTCAATTTGTTCCTCCATTTTGGTATCCCTTACACAAGCAGTTATTTAAAGCTCTTCAAAGAGCTGACTGTTGCTCTGTATCCAAGTATTTCACTACTGAAAGTCCTTCTCTGCAGTGTCAATCCCACCTCTGTCTCCCAAGTGGGTTTTTCTGGCCCATATGTAACCAGCAAACCTACAAATAGTATTGGACTGACACAGCTCGGAGAGGGGAAAATAAATAAAAAGAAAAAAAAAGAGAGAATGGAAAAAAAAAAAGACAGAGGATGAAAAAAGAGAGAAAGGAGGAGGAAAAAAAGGGGGGGAGGGAACAAAGTCCCTCATATGGAGTTGAAATTCATCTTTTTTCCAAACTCTGTTCTGCTCCTTCAGCTGTAAATTGTTATAAGATCAGAATTCTATTATGTAGTTCTCACACAACTTTTTATAGCTTAGCACTATTTTATATCACTGGTTCTGTTAGTTCACAGTAACATGCATTTGCCCAAAACAGAAGTCTGCCGATGCGTATGTAGTCAAATCATTGATTAAGGCAGTTTTTGAACGGGATTTTTACGCTGCTGTGCCTTTCAAAGCTCATGTTTTACTATGACAGGAACACAGCAACGTAAACCAGAAATGAAGCAGATGATTTTGGTGTGTATTTCCCACAGCCAGGGCAGTTAATAAAATATATCTGCAACACATTTGGTGATCTAACTGGAAACTTTGCCAACACTGAAACTATAAAGATTACGTACATATTATTATAAGAGGTAGTTTGACAACAAAAAGCAAAAGAAAACATATTTTATTTCACAATATTCGTAAACTTATTTTTAAAACTAAAGAAGCTACGTAGAAACTAATTTGAAACATTGATTTTGAAAAAGTGGTATATCTAGGAAAAAAAGTATAAGGCTTACAGAAACAATAAACTGAAAGAGACCTCAATGCAACCCTGCCCAGTGTCCCACCAAGTTAAAATTGTTTGAAACATGAAGTAAAACTGAACACTTGGGCTCGTATCAGACAAAAGTAAGACCAGATTGAACAGCCAAACAACACACATTGTCCTGTGAGAGACAGAGGGGCACCGGTCACCTGGTAGAATAGCTAAACTGTTGCAGAATCACTCCTTCAACAGTTTTTGCAGCTCCAAACCGAGATATGCATTTTTTTAAGTTGACAAAATTCAGAGGGAATAAAAATCCAAACTCTGATACTAAGTTTAATTCAACAAAAATCTTCCGGTAATTTTTATTTTAAATCAAACCCCAGAACCTGAAGACAAAATTTTAAAATTAAGAGTTTGACTATGAAATATCTTTACGAACAAAACCAATGGTGTCCAAAATATTTTGACATATGGTTTCATTCTCAGTGCACATTAAATATGAAGCTAATTCTTCTGTCTTCCATACCCCCCCAGTTCCTGAATGCCACAAAATATA